TGACATTCAAGATACACTTGAGTATAAAGAACATCCTATCAGAATTCTGGGCAGAGATACCAAAGAGACCCGAAGTAAAACTATTCCTATGTGCAAGATCAAATGGAGCAATCACACAGAGAGAGAAGCAACATGGGAGAAAGAGTCTGACCTCTGGCTATGATACCCTTACCTCTTCGAAGAGTACATTACGTTTTAATCTCGGGGACGAGATTCTGTTAAGGGGGTAGGACTGTAACAACCCAAAAATCCACACACCAAAAATCACAACTACAAAATTTTTGCTGTTACCCCATGCAATGTTGAGTGACATCTATAGGAGCCAACCCTAGGTGTTGTATTAGATGTAACCCAACTAAGCAATTTCATGAGCATGGCATGTCATTTATTAACTATGTTTATTTAAAATACTGACAAATAAAATGTAGCATACATTGTTAATTCAAATGGTGATTTGGATTTCCATTTGCTTTATGTAATGCTTAACAACTCCTTTAAAGTAATAAACCATAAAGTAAATATTAATCAAACCAAAGAATAAAGGCTTAAAGTGAAAACTATTTATATTTTTGTATAACAAAACTACAACTATTTTTGTCACACAAAATAGCTAAATAAAGTCCCTAAGATATAAAAGAGTGTTGTGGGCCTCACATCTAAAAAAATTCCAATGAATAAGGTACACCAGATTTGAATTCAAACTCCAAATCAAATTTGAATTCAAATAAAGAAGAAGAAAAATAAAACAGAAAAGAAGAAAAGGAAGAAGGAAGCCTCGCAGCAGCTAGGCCTGCTTGGCTTCGCGGCCCAGCCAGCCCAACCGCGCCCGCCTTTCACCCAGCGCGCGCGCACGCGGCCCACGAGCCGGCCCAGCACATGGCTCATGCCCACGCACCTTCCTGCTTCGCTTGCTGCTCTCACTGCTCGCCGGACCCCACCTGTCGGCTTTCCTGTTCATCTTCTTCGTGCCCACGCATCAACCGCCCGCGCGACCGGGGGCCGACAGCGATGGCAGGAGCGGGCCAGGGGTCACGCCCGGGGCATGGCCCTTGTTCCCCCTTGCGCCGCGCTCATGCAACTTCATGCCACCGTTGGATGCGTCGCGCGCCTTTCCACCGCATGATGCCGATCGCCATTGGAGGCATGGAGCTCGGCTATAAAAGAGACCCCGGAGCCTTAGCCTCTCCCTCTCAACCACGCCGCCGCCGTGCGGTATCCGCCAGACCACCCAGCACGAGGGCTGAGGGGAGAAGAGGAACAAGGAGGGCGGAGAAGCTGCCAGGAGGAGGACCGGGAGCACGCCGGAATTTGGAGCGCCGCCGCAGATCAAGTCAGAGCGTACCGCGAGGCGGCACCGTCGTGATCGTCACTACGTCGATCACACGCTGCATCACCTAGCCTCACCGAGCACAGCGCGGTGAGCACCCCGCTGAGACCCCTCCTAGCCCCATGGATGCCATAGCAGAGCACACACACGTCGCGCTCACGACACCGTCCGTCATGGCGCGGCCACCACTGGCGCACCCGGCCGCCTTGCCGGACTAGGACGTAGTCGTAGCACCATCGTGACGCCCGGAGGTTAGCCGCGTAGACCGAGACCCCAATAGCCAACCACAGCACCCTAGCCACGAGCACCGGACCTTGGCCGAAGCTCCACCATGCACCACCACCGCTTGTGGACTCCGCCACGCCTTTTGTTCGCTTTTGGCACTTCACCCTGTTGCCCGCTAGCCGTCTGAACGGGAACGAGGCACCAGGACCCCTAGAACAGCCCTAGCTGCCCTGTCGGTGAGCATCGCCACAACCTAGCCTCCGACCACCGTGACCAACACCCTGGGAAGCCCTGGCCACCATCTAGACCCCGCCATCGTGTTCGTCGAGGCCTGGTGAAGCTTTTCCCCACCTTAATTGGACGCCAGCGCCGCCGTAAGAGCTCGCCGGAGAGCACATCACCGGCGGGAGCACGCTGGGGAAGGAAGCAGAGGATTCCCTCACCGGCCGCACGCGCCTGCACCCGGTGTACATGGACCAGGCCAGAGGGAAGAAGCATAGACTCGGTCCACTGAAGACCCAGCCTACGGTCCATGGACCGTGAACGCCAGTCCACCGTGAACCACGCAGTGTGGGCCGAGCTGTGGATGAAGCCCAGTGGAGGCCCATGGCAACGACGTGGCAGCGCCACAGCATGCCACGTGTTCGGGCCGGCCCAGCCTAGACCGGCCCAACCCGAGCCCGCCAGAGCCCGTTTGAGACCCAGTCCGAGTTGACCGTTGATCGGTCCTCGTTGACGGTTGACCTGGCCCCACACGTCAGCGACACAAAGGCTCGGGACCCACATGTCAGTAAGTGACGTCATGATAACGTCACGCGGGTCCCACCTATCAGTAGCAATACAGCCGAGGTGACGTCATGATGACGTCACGGTGATGTCAGCTGCTGACGTCAGCAGCCCTGGCCCACACGTCAGTGAATGTGACCCGTTGACCGTTGACTCGCCCGTTGACGTTGACGTTGACTTTGACCGGACCCACATGTCAGCGACCCAAGAGCCCCTGGTCCCACCAGTCGGAACGGATGACGTTGATGACGTCAGCAAAACCCCCACTTGTCAGCTCAGAGCCGAGCCGATGATGTCATGCTGACATCATGCCGACGTCAGCATGCCACGTGGACCAGTCACGGCGTGACACGTGTCAGCCTAGGATTAATTCAGCCTTTTTCCATTTTCAGAGATGATTTAATCTTCAGAAATTCATAACTAATTCATACGACCTCAGAAAAATATGAAACCAGGACCAAAATTCATCTAAAATCAAGCTCTACGCAATGAACCCATGTTTGAGTGCATTTAGATTTTTTGAATTTTCATTGCTTCTTTATGCTTTTCTATAGACGTCGCTAACGCGACTATAATGCGATTGTTTACAGACTCGGAGGAGAACCAGACGGATGAGGACCGAGAGTACCGTGAGGAGTACGAAGACGACTACACTAAAGGTGCCACATCCCACCCAACCTCGTAGCACCTATTACACATGGCTAATATAGAACTGCTATTGCTTTACTTTGTTGTTATAATCACACTATGATAGGACTTGCATTATAGTATGCTTTCTTGATGGCCTTTACCTTGACGCAACCTTACCCCTGCTCACCCTGCTGTTAGGCTAGTCACACGCTTGCTATTATATTTCATTGCTTATTACTTCTACTACGCTTGCACTACATTGATGCATGGTGGAAACTGGTGTTATCTAGACTATGGGGAGAGTGCTGCGTGTGTGACTTGGGTGCATGGAGGGTGAGGGTTGTGTCGACCAAGTTGGAGTATACGACGAGCCTGGGGCAAGTCTTGCCATGGGGTGCTACCTAGGCACCCCTGGAATGGATACCTGTGGTGGGTAAATGATATATGAGGTGGCCCTGGGTGTGAACCTGTGATGGGAGGAGCCTAGGGTGGAGGTGCTGTGGTGGCATGGTAAATGGAAACCCTGATAAAGACATTCTGGCTTGGTCATCCCTAAGGACTTACTAGTACTCAGATTCACCAGGAAGCCTTACGTACCACTCGCCCTATATGGTGCGGGACGGTCGGACTACTGGGTAGGATATTGCCACTACTGCTAGGTTGATAGCGGACAGTGTGAGGGAGGTACGGGGCGTGGAGGATTTCCCCCACACCCTTCCAAGACTTCATGGAGACCTTGTGGACCCGGCTCATGACTCACAGTTTCAGCCACCCCATACTAGACTTGGGGTGTACCAGGGCTGAATGGTAGAGTGGCATTATCCTAGGTTAGCAAGCGGCTGGAATCAGCCTAGTTGACGACGGTCAGCGAGGAAGGCGGATCTTGTGGTTATATAAAACATCTGCAGAGTGTATGGTTGATCGATCGATACATATGCCAACTTATCGGCTATGGACATTTCCTGGGTTTCGCTTAAACTAGATAGTGAGATGAGTCCTTCTCTTCTCCCCCTGGGAGTGAGTGTTTGGACGTAGCCAGGGGCTACGGGCCTTGAGACGGTGCCGAGAGGGAGTTGGCCTATCGACTGAGCGAGGGTGTGGTTGTGGTATGGTGATGGTGTGAAGATGGTGGTATATCGATCCTAGGATCGAAACCTGGCTCTAGACGGAAATAGGGTGGAATGAGGGTGTGAATGGTGTTAAAACTTGACCAACTATTATTATGTACTTGATATGCTAATACATAGGAAACCCCAGCCTTATAGGTTCCTTTTGATTATATCCAACTTGCATCCAATTTCCACAAAGCAATGCTCATAGGGTGGGAGTGGCCAGTACAAATCGTACTGCTAAATTTTGGCACACAGGTTCTGTTGAGGAGTATAGCTCCGAGGAGTTTGGTGGTTGAGGGGTTCGTTCCTACGCTCAAGTTTGGCGATCTTATCTTCTAGCGGTTCTGGATGAATGCTACTTTTGATTCCGCCAATACGGCGATGTAATAATTTATGTAATTCTACACTATTTGTACTATGATATTATCGTTGTATGGATGTGATATTCGACTGGAATTTGGGTAATATGATCTACAACGGTCTTATTACATTTCGACTCTGTGGATTTCCCTTCGCGAAAATCAGGTCGCTTCATCACTCGGCTGAGAAAACCCTCGAACCCCCGCCCCCACCCTTACACGGTGGCTTTCCGTCGCCCAAGTGAGAATTGGGCCGGTGCCCTCCCAGTGCTTTGGTTATGGGGACGGACAAGGAGATTTTTTTAACCTCAGCCTGAAATTTGCTCCCACGGGGAGTCGAACCCAGGACCTAAGGAGTGCCGTTGGGCCACCTAACCGTTTGAGCTAGGCGCCCTTAGCACCAAAGGTTTAATAAATTGGTATATGTCAGTTACAACCGCAAGATGGAAAACAGATTTAAAAAAATTAGAGAGCTGGATTCTAAAGGAAAGATATGCAATCCACTCTTGCTCGATGAATTTCATTGAAAAAATGAATGAGTCAATGAAAATTGTGAACCAGAACCAGTTCAGGAAGGTGGTGGCGATGCTATGACTTGGGCTGTTGTGGATGAGGCTATTGGTGCAACTCAGGGTCTAGAGGGACGTAACTTGCCTAGGGCTGCTGCTACTCGTGCTGCTGTTGCTGCCCCTGTGAGGTGTACTTATGCTAGGAACAGAAAGCGTCCAAGGAACACAGTGACTCAAGATATTGATGAAGTTGATGATGAAGACCAAGATCAGCATGTAGATTCAGCAATAGCAATGGAGGAGGATGAAGAATCTGTACCAACTGAAACTGGAGATGGACCAACTGGAGATGGAGATGGATGCTTCACTTTTAATGTTGATTTGCTTAATTAGATGGCTAGTTGCCTACTTTTGTTGGACTGTTAAATGTCAATGTTTGTGACTCTGTGTTGAACACTTTAGCAGTTTAGCTTTTGTGTACTGAACTTGAACACTTTAGCTTATGTGTACTGAACGTTTGCTAAATGCTAGTTATTTGCTACTGCAGCAGTGCTGGCTAATGCAGCAGCAGTGCTGCTGTTGAGCTATGTCAAGATCAAGACTACATTAGTGTTGCTAATTATGATCTTCTTTGGCATTTTAAGCTTCCGGCAGCAAGTCAACAAAGAAATGAAGTTTGGGACCGGAATATGGACCTCTGGACATGGCAGAAAAGAGAAGAAAACAACTCCCACAAGTAAGTCACCAGCTAAACACTAATATAGTCTTGATGCTTGCTTTATTGTGTATACTATATAGTATATATAGGTATATATATAGTAGGTATATATATCCTGATATATAGGACTAGGTTTGACTAATCGGCCTGGTCGACCACTAATCACGATTAGTCTTCTGGTGGGTCCATGACAACTAGGTTCGACTAGACGACTTGAAAACATTATTCCTCTTCCTATCTTGGAGACTTGGACAAGGAAATTGATTTCGAAAAACTACCCATTATTTTCTGTTAAGTTGCTTTCATATTTGAAGGCATATATATATATATATATGTATGTATATATATGTATATATACTTGATTAAATAAATTTGTATTATAGTATGTTAACGTTGTTCAAATGACGCTGGTGTAAGCACAATACTTCTCGTGCACCACATACTCGAGAGTGTATATCCAGTTTAAGCTTTTAAATTCGATCAAAAATATACATATATATGTTGTTTGTTAGCTTTACTGTTATGTCAAACTTATCGAAAATAATAACCTATATAATTTATCACGATTCCTACGCCTCAGATGCCTCAGAAAACGATTAGGATTCAGGCGACGGTTTCACACGTGCTCCATGCATGCGCCACGGTCCGTCCGTCCCCAGCGAGGCAGCAAACGTATTCCAGACCACAGGTATGCATACACGGCACACGCATCCACCAGTTCGTATAAGAAAACGACGGCAGGTGTATGAGAACACACAGCTACGTATGTACGTACTAGGCGCCCGGCCGGTATGGATTATCTGTTGTAAAGTTTGTGATGGTTTGTTAATTGTTTTTGTGTTATAAAATATTTAATTTTTGTAATTGTCTTACAATAGATATAATTATAAATTGTTAATTGTCTTTGTACCAACAAAGATCGGATTTTGTTAGGTTTGTGGTTTTATCTAACGGGTTTTTATTCTTGGAACAAAAAAATATAGATTATGTCTACATTAATTGTAAAGAGCAAAAAAAAAATTATAATTTTAACATAAAATATTTACAATAAACGTCACTTGAAAAAATCTAAAATTCCAGGCACCTGAATTTTAACAAGTCCCTTTACTCCCAGTAACACAGAGAGACTAATTCTAACAAGTCGCTTTACTCCCAGTAACACTGAGAGACTAATTCTTGCGTCTATGGCTACAACAGTTGTGGCTGCACGTAGTGCTATTATGCGTGTCTGCAGCACCATTTGATACCTTTATCACAAACGAAACGTGCAGATAGCGTATCTGCTAGCTGATAAGCCGGCTGATAAATTGGCTGAAGCTGTTTTATTGTGAGAGAAAAATATTATAAATTATAGCTAATAAGCCGGCTGATAAATTTAAAAGAACATGTCCTTTTTCCAAGTAGTTGTGAGATGTTGTCTTCCGCGGGAACCACAAACAAGAACGGTCCCGTTCGCTACAGCTTTCAACCGCTGATGCTGCGTTTTCAGTTGAAGTTACAGAGATTTGTAGCCATTAAATAAATACTTATTGCGGCTGCAGCGAACACCCCCAACGTTAAAAACCGAGAGAAGTCGTCGACTTTTAAAGCAAATTACAATCTTAACTATGTTTTCATGTATATAAATTTCTTCACATTTCTTTCTTTTCATTATATAAACAACAACATTGGTAACAACCATAACGAGGCCATCGGCTAACAAGCTTAGCTGTGAATCAAGTATATTGCGAGTTGCACAACCAAATGGCCGCTAAAAATGATCGCGCATATAAATGTTCTAGGTAGGTTTTGCCTATCATGCACCATTTCACTTCTCTTAAAACCATCATTGGTTATGCCATTTAAAATGGACTTTTTTTATTCATAAAAGCACGCTGGATAATTTTGAATTGTGAAAGTAAACTCCCACAAACTGGCCAAAGATGGTGATAGCATAGTAAATCATTTGGAGAAAGGTAAAATATTGTTACCCCAAATGCTCCATGATAGATGGTCCATTCAAACTTTTAAAGTTTTTGCCCATCCCCATCCTCGCCCATATTCCCACTTCCCACTGACATGATCTTGGACTGAAAACTCAAAGTACAAGCTACTCTCTTTGTTCCAAATTACAAGTCACTTTGGCTTTTCTAAATATATAATTTTTGCTATACACTTAAATATACACTATGTCCAAATGCATAATAAAAATAATGTATCTAGAAACGGCCAAAACGTCTTATAATTTGAAACAGAAAGAGTATATCATTAAGTTTATTAGTTAATATTATTCAGATTCAGTTTTTTAATCATTTTGCGGTGCTAGCTTCGTGTGTGACCTGTTAATAGTGTAAGTTATTTGGTTTATACGTGATTGGTATCAATTGTTGGTGGCTCTAAATACTATGTTTACCTTTTTATGTAGTTTGCAGTTTACCATCTTCAAATATATACGCCGATGCCTATATTTGATCTAGAATTAGTCTCTCCATTCCAAATTATGACGTTTTGGTTTCTCTAAATACATAGCTTTTGCTATGTACTTAGATATATATTATGTCTAGATACATAGTACCAAGAATGTATCTAGAAAAAACTAAAATGTCTTTTAATAATTTGGAACGGAGGAAGTAGTATTTAAGGAATGACTTTGATAGGTAGTTTTCTTATATTATAGCTCAACAAATCCAGTAATGTTAATACCGTTTCATGGCAAACAAAAAAAGAATACTTTGCACATGTAGGTGCGTTTTACAATGTGCCATATTACATATGCATGAACTAAAAATGTTTACAACCCAGATTTAAGGGCATTGTGCAACTGGAATCAGAAGCATAGATTCAGAGTATGTAAACCACAACAAAACAATTATATATAAATATAGAAATTTTTTAAAATAATTGGAGAAAAATTCGATGGCTGACATCGACCGAGAGCGGCCAATCCGACGGCAACAAAGGTAGGAGGCAACGGGAGGCAATGGGACGGAGGCAACGGGAGGCGATTGCTGTGTCTATGATCGGTGGGCCATATGCACAAATATCGCCTTCCATTGCCTCTGCAAATGTGGGGATTAGGACTGGGCGGTAATTCCATTCTCGTAGTTTTTTTTTATAAAGGGTAAAACGGTAACTCTATAAATTCAAAAATAATGTTTTGAGTAATATAGTTAGGATGGATAATACAATTAGTATAGTTAGTTAAATGAATATGTCGTTTACTTCTTCTAGGGTTCCACCGCCGCCGTCATGCGAGCCGCCGCCGTCATGCGAGCCGCCGCCGTCACCGATCATCCGCTACCCCTCGTTCCTCCTCGCCATCATCCGCTCGGGCGTCGCCCTCCTCCTCGCCGTACTCTGCTCGGGCGCCGCCCTCGGCGTTCGTCCATGGTGGAGCAAGAGGAGGCAGGAGAGGATGGGGGCCATGAAACCTAGATCCAAGCGCGCCATGAGGTGGAGGCGCCGGCGCCGACACCGACGCTAGTGCTGGCGTGCTGCACACAACCAGGGGCAGGTTCGACACCGCCGCGGTGCTATCTGCGATGGGCAGGTTCGGCGTCACGCGCCTCGCGCTGGCATCGCCAGGCGCTGCTGGCCATCGTGCGCACCGCCGAGGAAGCGGACGCGGGCGCTGCCGCCCACGTGGCCACGCTCTTGGCGGTGAACTGCGGCGGCGCGCCCCTCGCGATTGACCTCATTGCGCGCTTCTCGCGCACTTTACCCGGCGTAGGCGTTACCCAGGTTGGTTTCTCGCTGCTGCAAGTTCATGTCTTTTGATTCTTAGTTCAGAGAATATCGTAACTACTAGAGTAGTTCATACAAATCACTTGCAATTATGTGTTCATCATAGCATACAGTGCTTGTTTCCAATTGGCAAAAGGGGTATGGTCTTACAGGATTGATGGTTTTCGTATACTAGGTTAGAAACTGTCAAGTATGCTCTCTTTAGTTAGTGAATTATTTATTGACAAATCTCATTTGCAGATATGAGCTTGAATTAAATGTTCTTGGACTTAGGTTTTTAGTTTGACACAGCCATCATGTGCAATTTTGAATTTTGAGTCTTATGTCGAGACAACATCTTTGGTGTGTTTCTTGTGGTGTTATTTCATGATTTGGGCTTCTCAGACAAGAATTAGCTTGCCTCTGAATATTGTAAATTTTATTGCAGTCACATCAACACACCAGAACTAAACATTGGAAGCCAAAACTCCTTTCTTCCGAGAAGAAAACACTAGCTATTCTAGGAGACAAGAGTATTGACAGTGAGGACCCCTTGGAGCATGTAATTGACGGAACATCTAGCGAGGAGGAAGTATGGTAACATAAACACTTTATATTAGTCGTTGTTCATTTGAAAATTGAGATACTCAAACATATTTTTCTTTTATCCTGGAATAGGATGCTACTCAAAACCACTTGAGTTTGGTGAACAAAGATGAGAACCAGCAAACTATGGCTGACCTATTCCAAGAAGTTTTCAATCCAACAAACATGGATGGTGGCATGAATTCAATGAGATCAACAGGGTATAATAATCTTGAATTCTTGCCAAATCTTATTGAAATGACCATTTGCACTGGAATTCTGAGTATTTATTGGTCTTGCTCTGTGGCAGAGCTGGTAACTATGGAAGAATGCAACAGATTATGCAGATGGAGGAAGATTGGCATGCGGAGTTCTTGAGACGGTATAGCAGAGAGCAAGGTTATTCAGGTGGTGCTGTTAGTAGCAGTCAGTAGTTGGTACCACTTATATGCTTTGGATTAGGCATAGTCTGTTTGTATACATGGATTTCAGAGATATTGACAGTTCAAATTCGTAGGTGATTTAAAGGGCACTACTGTTCAGATCATGTCAAGATCATTGGAAGGAAAGCTAACAGTCTGCAGCTGCATGTTCCAGGAAAAGAGCAATGTCTGTGCTCCATGCCTCCATCTTCGAAAAACTCCTATCTACTCATGTGGCAGTAATCTTCTTAAATTAAATAATATTTTGCTTCTCATGCTGCTAAGTTGAACAAACATTTTGGGAAAAAAATGTTTCAAGATGATTGTCTGTCACTTTCTTATCCAGAACAGTATGCTCTTTAGAAAAGTAATGTCTGAATTGACCAATTATGCAATGCTACAAACTAAAATTGAAAGTTATTCTGCTGCATCTAGATGACTAGACAAAAGGTATCCTTTGTTGTAGCCATTAGACAAATTTCTAATGAACTGACTCTTATGTGAACATAAACGATGTTTTACCAGCATTCTGCAACAGTGATGTTCTCATGGAACTTATGTTCATGCAGGATACTGCTATAAGTAATGCCTCAGCAGACAGCACCATAGATGAAAGCAGAACTAGGAGGACCATTATCTTCAGTCCAAAGATATGTGACAATGTGGATCTTCTGGTTGGAAACATAATTCATATCTTCCCACCATGGTATTATTCTCTAATTCGTTTATGTGTTTTGTTTCCCTGCTTCTGTTGTATACTCCTTTTTCTGTGTCCAAAAGAGGCATATGTACCTAATGCTAGATTGAACTTTTACCAATTACCTTAAAAAAAGTCAACATCATGAATCAAAGTGGCAAGGATGAAAATGGTGCTAAATGATGTTATAGACTACTGCAAGTAGAAGTGTTGTGGGGCAGACTCATTTTAAAAAGGTATGAGCGGTTTCTAAACTTGCACAAATGGTGTCATGAGTCCCAACTCTCGAATTTTAATGTTAAGTCTCTGAACTTGTATGGTGGTATCATCTAGGTCTCCAACTCTTAAATTTTGATATTTTGTTGCACTGGTCCAAAGAGGCTGTGACCCGCTCATGCAGTGACATGGCGTGCTGACTATGTGTTGATGTGGCATGTTGGGTCCACATGTCAAGTCTATGTCGACACACAGTCAACATGCCATGCTTGGTCCAATGCTAGCGCTTGGGACAAGTGTGGAGACCCAAGTATCAAAATGGGGACCCCGGATGATACCACTGTGAAATTTTAGGGGCTGCTCATGAATTTTACTCTTTAAAAAAAGGCTTGACCACATAGTACCTACTCATTCAGGTAGACTAAGGAAAACATTGAACTTAACAGTGTAGTCTTGTTTGTCATTTGATTTTTTTTAATCATTGGTTCATACTATGATTAGCCTACCCTAACTTGTTTGGGACTTAAAGGCTTTGTTGTTGTTGTTGGTTCGTACTATGATCTAGCATTTTGCTTGGCTTGAATCCAAGTAACATTGAAGTTGAAGATAGCTGTGTTGCCTTGACAGGAAGGAAGTTAAAATGCAAGAAGAGCATGTGATTATTTGCACCTACTTCTCGCACCACCGGACTTGATACTCAGAGATTTTTTTCTGTACTCGCAAAGCTAGAGGCAGACCGCAAGCATAACCGTCGCTGACAGCCTAATGTCGATGTACTCGCAGTGTCTATTCTATTTGTTTTACAATCACAAGTGTACTGGCTGCAAAGCTCAGACCGCAAGCATAACCGTTGCGGATAGCCTAATGTTGATATACTTGCAGTGTCTACTCAGTTTGTTTTACAATCACAAGTTCCTGAGCGGTTGATGTACTTGCAACGGCAAGAATAACCGTCGCTGGTGGTAGCCTAATGGTGGTGTACTCGCAGTGTCTATCCTGTTTGCCTACTTGCTACAGCAATCGCAAGAATATAAAACATTTGTCAGCAGGCAGAGGAGCCTTGCACTGTTTGGGCTTTTAAGGTCGTGAGTTTGAATCTATGCCTATGAGGCTGTTATTATCATTAAACTCTATTCCTCCACCGACGGAAATACATCTGATCATATATCATTACATAGCAAGTATTGACGTAAAAATCTATATAGTATTCCTCATTTAAAGAAGAATCAAAATCAGTACAACAATGCTCTATTGGCGTAAAATCTATATATAGCATTCCTCATTAAAAAAAAATCAAATGAGTTCAGTACAACAATGCGATTCTAGATCCTGAACTATGCCATTGAGGCGAATAACTTACACCATGATCAGAAACTACCGATGAAATCTTTTTGGCTCTACAGCATATAATGTTCCTCGACACCCTACGTAGCCTCATCTTTTGGTCGTCAAATAAAAATGGGAAAATTTCAGCAACCAAAATTTATCCTCAAACTGCCTTCTTGTAGTATATGTGTAATGCGTCTTTCCGACCTGTTTCTATGGATTCTAGTACTCACAACTCGTCATGAGATTCAGGTTCTGAATCGCTAGTGTTGGCTGATGCAGACTGATCCTCTTAGATTCCTGAGACGTTTCGGTGTATTCACCCTCGTTGGGTGCAGATTCCGAAGAGGTGGTTTTCTCCTTGCTAGCAGGTTCTTCCTCCTTTGCTGTTTTCTTCTCAACCTTGGGTTTTGGTTTTGGAATCCTATTGACACTTGAGACCTGCACAATGAAAGAGCACACATTATACTTACTACCATGAGTAGTATGCATAACTTTTTATAGGGCGCTCTACCAAATTACTAACCTTATCTTGCAAGTCCAGAACTTTCTCATAAACTTCTTCAGATGTGAAAACTGGTGGGCTATAGATAGGGGTACTGCAAAATTTTCAACGGGAGTTAGCCACCTTTTACAAGGCAATAAAAAAAGCAAGCTGACTCGAAAGGTATACTTTTTCTGCAGGTTTTCCTTCTCCTCCAACCAAGCTTTCACTTTCTCTGCTTCACTTACAACCTAGAACCAGAGCATTACACGACCAACAAAATGAGCATTACACATAATCACAAAGTCAACTTCATTAAGCTCACAGGTTTACCTCATCTACTCTCTTTTGGGGAGCCATGGTTTGTTTGTGTCCCAGTTCTTGACAATCTGAAAAACCAAACGTGCAATCAATTAGAACAGTAATAACACATCAATCATGCATTATATCGGTAGAAACAGTTATACTTGAAGCAGTTCACAACATGGATAAAATAGATGTAAAACAACGGTTTTGTCCCCTCACCGTGGAATTCAGTGTATAGTAAATTTAGCCTTTTTCCCGCTTCCACGAAATTATTGATCAATCCTTTTTCGTGCAAGAAGATACCGGTGGTCCGACACGCCCTCCTCATCACTCCAGTCCGACACCCATTCAAGCATCTACGGATCTCATGGCTCCAAAGAGATTGCAGAGGTCGTCGATGCCACCGATAGGATTTAGGCACGGAGAAACATTGTTCTTGCGATTGCGTGCACGATACTTATTGCATCGGCCGTCGTCAAAAGGTAATTCATGATTGCACACCGAAATATAATGGATCATATAAAAGAGCCAATGCATCTATCCCTCGTGGAACCGCACCAAACACTCATTAGCACTTGAAAAAAAATTGCATAGAAATATGCATGCATGAGCTATGGACTCGATTGCATAGAAACAAACAGGCATAGGTGTTTCCAATTCAACTACAAACGGATCTCTAAAAATTCATCGTTCCACAGACATACCTCGTTGGGTGACCTGGGCCTTTTGATAGGAAGATCACATCCTCCGTTCACGCAAGCATTGCGACGACCGCGATTCCAGTTCCCAAAGAGCTTGCAGTGAAGCCGCCTCTCTCTCTCTCGGGAGAGGCATGGAGAGACTCCGTTCACGCAGCTTCACGCAGTCGGGGCCAAGCACCTTTCGGCGCTCTTCTTCAGAGCCGTGGATTTTCCCGTCTTCATCTTCTTCTCAGCCGATGATTTTCCTGGATTCATCTCTAGACAGCGTGGATGTGGCCGGCAACGCGGTGAAGGCGGAGATCAGCGGCGGCGGCGCGTTGAGCTCTGGCCGGTGGCGGGCTAGGGCTAGGGTTAAGGCTACGGCTCCGAGCGGCCCCTTTAGGGTTCTAAGGTGGCGGCGCGGTGCTCTGGGCATACTATTTATAGGGGCGGGCGCGGGGAACCTCGGGGGCCACGATCGAGGGGATCGGGCGGCGGTGTCTACGCCCGGTTGATGCGGCGCGGCGGGGCACGTTCGATGGAGGGGAGGGGTAGTGGGCTTTGGCCCAGAGGCATATCGCCGGGAGTTGGGGAGAAGTTGCCGCTCTGTGTCCGTCTCCAGGGAAGGAGGCGACATGGTGCGTGGAGCCGCTGACATGCGGGCCCTGCAGGTCAGCGACAGGGGCGCGGGCACAGGGCGTTGGGCCACGTCGCCTGTTGTTGCGGGGCTGTCCTGTTGTTGCTGAGGGCTGCGGTTGGTTTGCTGGGCCGGGTAGTGGGCTGTGGCCCAGAATGAAAATAGAGGGGAGTGCGAGAGAGGAGGAGAAGGAAGTCAGCTACATGGCTGGTTTAGTCCCACCTCGCTTGCATATCAATCAAAAGCACAGCTTAAAAGCGCAGACAAACTAGCCAGTTCAACACCATGCATTACACCGCCTATGCTCTTAAAACGTTCTGTACATGCACTAATTGGGCGGCGCGGCTGGTTGGGCTCCTTGGAGGTCGAGCTTGACCTAGCCGTAGGCGGCCCTTAGCACCAATTTTTTTTCAAACCATCCATTTTGCAATTGAAGTCCCTCTTGAAAACCTTTTTTTTCAAACCATTTATTTTGTAATTGATTTTTTTATCTTCCAAGATCGATTTGTAATATAAAGCCGGACCTTAAAATAAAGAAACTCGGATTCACACATAAAAACACGTGGATAGAGTGATCGGTTCAACCTATAAGTGCACTTTCGGATGACATATAAGAGTGATCGGTTCACTTCCTATCATGTTAGGTTAACGGTCTATCACCCACCGATCAAACGAGCCATGCGAATGTAGGTTCAGACTTGTCGCCCCACGAGCACTAGTCTAGCTACTCGGAGGAGACATGAGAGTGATCGGTTGACTTTGTTATTGTGCTATTAGTCTGTTAGTCCACTCGGACGACACGTGATAGTGATGGATTAGTTTGTATCATGTTAAGGCTAGTGGTTCACTCTGTCGAGACATGAGAGTGATTGATTCACTTCCATTCACTTTAGGCCTTTTACTCCACTCAGTCAGTACGTGCAAACTACAATGGTTTGCAAAAAAAAAAATCAATGGTTTGCAACAAAAAAAAATTGGTGCCATGGGCCAGCGACAGCTAGGTCAGGTTCGACCACAAATAGGGCCCTACCAGGCCGCGTCGGCCCAATTAGCCCGGTATATAGCTGACTGCCCGGTCGAGCCCGAGTGCGTAGCCCAAGGCCCACTATGCCCTCGCGCCTAGTTGCGCCGCTCGGCTGCCAAACACGGGGGTAACTGGAAACGGGGTTTGAAGCCACGATCTCCGCGCGTAATTATAGGATCGTAGCCGCCACGTTCCCGGCGTAGTTGCTCTTTCTCTACATCCTTGATTTTTGTCTCTATTTCTCCGGCGAACAACGACAACATCACCTGGAATCGGCACTGGCACCATGGACACGACAGGAGATGGAGAGCAGTCCCCACGTACTCCGATCAACATGGGTACAGGTGAATGATACATCCCTCCTTCAGTTTAATTAGCACAGGGTTTTTGTATGGGTATGCGTTGATGGTGAGGTACGACCCGGTCCGCTCCAGGAACTCGATCATGGGCTTCATCACCGATTGCGCGATGTCATCCTAGAACCTGCCCGCGGACGGCGGCCAGGACTCCTTGAGCGCGGTGAATGCGATCGGCGTCGACACCTTCACGGCTGTGTCTAGGCCAAGCTTCACGAGCGTGTCGTGCACGTTGGCCATGGCCGGGACGAGCTGCCCGCTCAGGTTCTTGGCCTCCTCGAACACCTCGTTCCCCACGGCCACGCCGTGGATCCGCGTCGCGGGTAGTACGCCGCCGCGTTTCTTGCACCACCGGCCGTGTAAGGCAAGTCATTCCCCAACCGTCCGTAGCTCACGCCCCACCACGCCGCATCTACATTGTACACAAGAAAAAAGCAGTTAGCATAGCACTAGATTGGACCTAGAAAAATAAATGTTAGATCTGAAATGAACGTGGTTACCTTGGGGATATACTTTCTTTTTCTCTTAACAGAGGGGTCAAGACGCTGCTGCTTTGGGAAATAACATTAGGAACATCACCATGAGTCCTGCTCTAGGAACGCACACCTCCAGCAGACATCTCCAATTATTTTAGTCTTCTTTTGTGGCCTTCCTCCTCTAGTACCTGCAAGTTCTAATAGGTTATTAAGCATGAAATTTTTTCAGTTTACAACATAAGCAATGGTTCAGTTCACATCACTTTGATAGTATATTGGTACTTGCCTCTTTGCCTTTCTCCATAATGCTTCTCTCCATAATCAAGACAAAATTAAAAAATGCCTCGCATCAAGACAAAATTGTAAGAGTAGCCAGGTAGCCACCTTGCCTTGTCTTAGTTTCAAATCTTATGAGAGGTCGAAATGAAGCTTATACTAAAAGATTTCTTATGCACAAAATCTGATGCGATGGCAATCATAGGAGGAGTACTACTACGGGAAGCGAGATCCGACCAAAGAACAAGGTAATCTCAAGATCCAGCTTTTAGTTCTTGTGTATGTTGCCTATTCATTTTACCAACTTATCATCACCAACCGGGCTGCTGCAGAAAAGTTGATATGCATGTAACACACTCGCCCTACGAGACTATTTAACGTCATAGCACCTTTTAAAGGCATCGCAACCACACATTGACACTATTGAGGCTATGGGATTTGGGGGTCTGATTCAAATGCCAAATATTAGTCTCGGGAAAGGCATGATACAGGACATTGCAGACACATACCAAGTCAGCAACTAAGGATTAAATTTATGTGGTCAAGTAGTTACTATTCATCCAGATGATGTCCAAAATATAATGGCACTCCGGATTACAGGCATTGATGTAGATGAATATATAAAGAAAAAAAATGAAGAGTAAAGATGGAAGTAGGCAGAGTGAATTATTCAATAGGTATGCCAATGATAAACACAAGCTCGACCTAACATGGCTGGAAAAGATGCTTGATAAAAAACGACCTGCGGATGATGACTTTAAAAGAGGCTTCGTCTTGTTCACGATTGGTTGCATCCTAGCATCATCTACAGGGAACGACATCCATTGGAGCTATATAGAAGTTGTTCGAGATGTCTCAAAGATTCCGCAATTCAATTGGGGTCAATTTACTCTAAACCACTTGTTGAACTCATGCCTTAGTTACAAGAATAAGAAAGAAAGAACCATAAAGGGAAATTTGGTTCTCACTGTGTCGATTTCTATATGGTACGATCAAAACCTATAAACATTGTTTATTTTTGGTCTTACATATTTTCTTCTTCGCTTGTTTATAGTGTTGGTACTGGGAGCGCGTCGAGTGCCCAAATTATTATCGATCGACTACACCAAAAGGACATACCAACCACCACCGATGGTGTTTTGGGATAAATGCAATGCCGAACGTCGAACGATCGCTTATAATAATGGTGGGATATATGGAGGAACTGTAAGTTTCCAAACATAGCACCATTATGGGGCTGTTCTTACGCTGCATACAATTAATCTAACTATCTAGATTGTTTGCAGCTTCATGTGTCCCTTGTTTCGCACACCACCCAACAAAAAAAAAGCAAGCAAGAGCGCCAATGTCACAAGCGCGGCAAGCAAAATGTGCACCGACGGTCAAAGCAACCAAGAAGTATGACATCTTTTTATGAGTTGTACATCACTTGTGTGCTTATTCATTTTTTCTATTTTGGTAGGTGCAAAGCCTTCCACATTGGAAGAGAGAAACCAAAATGGAGCTTGCAATAGAGGTGGAAAGCAAATTTCTTGATATGAGCTACAAACTTGATCGGCAATTTGTGGAATGTATGAGTTTGCTAAATTTACAATCGATGTAAGCCCGGAAGATAGGATCAAGAAGCTCGAAGCTAAGGTAGATGATTATCATGAACGAATGAGTACGGAGATCCAGGTTACCAGCGTGGTAGTACTCATTTTAGTTACTCCCATGCTTCAATCTCTAACAATGTCTCTCAAAAGCGAAATCAAAGCTAGTGTAGATTCTAATTGAGCAAACTACTTGTACAACTGCACATGTTCAGCCACATATGCCTTCATCTGCACAAGTTCACCCACACATGCCTACGTCTGCACATTTTCAGGTATTGCATCTT